ATTTTTTGAAATCAAAGAAGGCTACAAAGGAAAATCTTATTTAATTTTGTTGATGACACATAAAACTTATGTCCTATATAGTATATCACATCTTATAAATAATAATTAATTTAAAACTAAAAGACTTGGACAACTAGACCGAACAATTTTAATACAACATAAATGTATTTAAAAATATACTTGAATTATACTCATGCATAATTATAGAAAATATTTTAACATTCAAACATATCAATAATAAACTTAACATAATGTTACTGGAAAGTTATAACAGTGATCATATTGCAATGGGAGAATAGTTATATTTAAAGTATATTTATTAAATACATTTGTGTGGCAAAATTACAACAATTGTTCAAAAAAATGTAAGTAAGGTTATATAATATTTACTATAAATGTTTTCAGACTTTATTACAATGGCATTAAGATAGGGGCAAGGGTTGCAAAAAACTAAATTTAACACTTATATAAAAAAAAAAAGAATGAATAATAAAAAAATTAACATTTCAAATCAAAAATTTGATTACATGAAAGTTGTTCTTTATAAAGGAATTATGGAATGTTTAAGAGAAAAAAACTAAAATGTTTTATACATTTTCGTGTATTTTTCTTATGTATATAAAATTATAAGCAATATAATTCTTATTATAGAGAYGATAATAACCAACTAAAAAAAGTATTTTATGCATTGAATTATGTTAAATTTGATCAATATTATACTTAATTTAATAAAAAAAAGATGATTTAAATAAAGTATAAAATCTAATAATTAGATACTTGATATTTTGCAACCCATTTAGGAACTGTTGATAACTAAAAGGTATGAAAAAAAGAGTAAAGTTTTTGGCATATTTTTTTTCTTAAAAACTATATTTTTATTTGTATAGCATAGACTAGAAAATTTAAGTCTTCAGAAAATTGTTYGTGTTGTATCTTGTATAATAAGAAAGTTATATGGAGATTAAGTTGAACAACCTTTGCTTAGAATAAATCAACTTATTTTAAATAAATACATGAGGAATACTCATAAATAATTGGTAATTTATTGTATACCAAAAATAAAATAAAAATAGCCTTTACAGAGACTTGTATGTAAATAAAATATTAATTATTATAATGTACCTACATAAATTATAAACATGGCATTTAATRTTGTTCGTGCTTACGCCTCTTGAGAAATAAAGCTTCATGAAAATCGTCTGAGCTTAACTTGTTTCTATCGATATGTAATGTTGAAAATAACTCACCATCAGTCATTGATTTTGGAAATGTAAACACACATCTACTTTTGTCRGCCATATTAGCTGAAGCACACATCCTATCTTCACTAAACAAAGTTTGATAGGAATGCGCTTTATTTGTATGGACAACATTGCATTCTTTGCATGAAGTCAAATTGTCAGCTGATGTACCTTTGTAAAGTGGCTTTAACATRAACTTTGGTACTGTTAAGCTTGCTGACCTTAGTTGACGACCTGATACTGGTGACTTTGTTTCTGGTGTACGATTTATAGATACACCCGATATGAAGAGTGTTGGTGACTTTGGAATACCTGTATCTGATTCTATATCAGCGGATATATCGTTATCAGCACTGTCTTCAGAATGACTGCTGAACTTTTCAATTCTAATATTCAGTTCAGGTTTGATAGGTAGTTCATCAGGAGTTTTTGATTCCTTCTCTAATGTTTCATCTGATGTGTCCAGGGCAGCAGTTTTTCCAATTTTACTTAAACGTTTGGGCAATGTGATGCTAGTGGATTTAGATGAGTTTTGCCAATATAGTTGAGCCAAGATATTGCACAGCTACAGAAAATAAATAAAATTAGTAAAATGTAACGCAATAATAATCATATTACATATACTTTTTTGTCTGAACTTATAGGAGCAGCAATGTTGCTGTCATCCAACGAAGTGACTGCACGGCATTCACCATTGTTATTAATTTCCATAAGAATGGAGGCAGTTCTTCTGGGTAATACTTGAAAGCCGTGGTTTAGTTTTCCACGTTTTCTATCTATTTTATCTTGTCTGTCATCACTGTTCATATGATACACATTAACACAGTATCTAAGCAAAGAAATCAAGTTATAAACAACTTGTCTGAGAAATAAATTGCATACAACAAACAAACCTTCGGTTATTTTTGTACAAATCTCTACGTGAGAGTAGATCACCAAAAGACAATGATCGCCTAAGGTTTTTATTTTCCATACGACTGTATATGTCTTCACTAAAATCTAAATAATAACTATTTTTGTGCAAATCACCTACTTTAAATACACCATCATCAAGTTTTATACCACTACATCTGAAAAAAATTGTTTAGCTAAAATGTATAATTTTGTACACCATAAATTGAGTTCAATCATTAAACAAATATATTACTTGGGTAAGACAATCGGAA